ATCAGCATTATGAGTCAATTTATAACTTTCAGGGGGAAATGAAGATTATTCCTTTAGTTCCTAATGATGCTCATATTTCAAACTGAGCTGAAGGGAGGTCAGTAATCTCTAATTAACTGAAGGGCCTATGAGATGTTTGTGAATGTCTTCCTTGCTTACAGCAACAAACAGGAACCATATGGCAAGGATAATACAACTGCATGCATAATGAGGAACTCTCTGCAAACCATACTTCATTATATAATTAATATTCAGCAAACTTGGCTTCCGGCAGTGATTTGTGAAGCAAGAGCCAGCAGCAGAATAGCAGATGAATTGGAATTCTGGCATTGCATTGCGCCAAGAGGGGAAAATTAAGAGCTTGATTAACAGGCAAATGAGAAAATATGGAGGACACTATTATCAAACATGGGCAGAAGAATGATATGGCAGAATATACTTATCTCTCAAGCATCTATCCTAAGGGCTAAGCAAAGATTTGGCTAACTAAACTTAAGCGAACTAAGGGTAAATAAACTAAGCCAAATGGTGTCGATTTAAGAAAGTGTTTGTAGCCACATATATCATAGAATCATAGAATAGTAGAGATGGAAGGGGCCATGAAGGCCATCGAATCCAACCCCTTTCTCTTGCAGGACACTGTGTTACACCATCCCACTCATATGACTGTCTAGTTTTGCCCTGAATGCCTCTAGTGTGGAGGAACCCCCGACCACTCTAGGCAGCTGGTTCCACTGTTGTATTTCTCTGACAGTGAGGAAGCTTTTCCTGATGCCCAGCCTGAATCTGGGTTGTTGCAACTTGAATTGATCATTCCGTGTCCTACACTCTGGCATTAGCAAGAAGAGATCTTGACCTTCTTCTTTGTGACGGCTTTTGAGGTACTTATAGAGGGATATCATGTCCCCCCTCAGTCTAATGTAATTGCCATATTTCCTGGAGGATCACTTTAAGGAACACTGGCAGCTGGTGAGGTCCTAAAAGTGACACCTGTGGCTTCAGAGGGTCTCCAGGGTGCACATCTTGTTGTGGCCACGGATGCCAAAGAGGCTGCATCAGGAGAGGTGGGAGGCTGCATGAAGCCTCTGATTTAACACAACCCCAGATCTGTCTGTAAAGAATGACCTGGCTCCTTCACCTCTTCCCTTCGCTTTTTGCTGTACTGAGTAAAGCAACATTTACAGTGCAATGCTATGCATACTTGGATATAAAAATTCCTAGCAATCCCAGCATTCCCCAGACTAAACGTTGAAGGTGCTTGCTTTGTTTTTAGGATCTGGTACTTAATAGGATTTAATCAAATCTTATGTTGGACCCATGAGATGAATAATGCTATGTACCTTATTTCCCAGAATACTTAATCCATACAATTATTTTAACACCAAGTCTTAACTTGATATAGGAATATGAAGCCATGAATGAGGACAGAAGGTGAAACTCACCTGGCTTTGTAATGTATTTTTCATGCTAGCACAGTTATTAAATCTTGCATTTTTTAATACAGTTGGCAAGAGCTACTGTACGTGATCCCAAGACAGGTGTGCTAACGGTAGCCAACTATCGGGTGTCTAAAAGGTAAGCTGACTGAGAACGAAGATTATTCTAAGTTTCTGAAGAGTGCTTTCCAAATATTTTTTATATAAATTAAAGCTTTGACAGATCTGGATTTTTTACATTCTGCCTTGTACCTGTCCCATTTTCAAATCAGAACAAACAGTCAAAACTTATAAAATCTAGGTTTCAGGAGACTGCTTGAAAGTTTTATGTCCTTTCTTCCTTCCTTCCTTTCTGCAGTAATTATTTTTACTGACTTGTGCTTTTAAATAACTTTTATTCTATGTCAGAAATTATTGTGGTTTGAATTGTACTTTTGTTATTATATAAGCTGTCAAGTAAAGGTTAAGCCCTGAAAGGTGGCTTATTAATAATGGTTTTGTTTTTGTTAATAAATAAGCATTTGTTTCCTGCCCTGCTCTCACTCCAGAGATTAGAGGAATATTTAGGGAAACTGTATACTTAATTTCACCATGTTGGGAAAGGGTTTTCTAATTCCTCTTCTTTTCTGCAAGTTCATGGCTGGAGGAAGATGATGATCTGGTTGTTGCCAAAGTGAATCACCGAATGGAGCACATAACAGGATTAACTACAAAAACAGCTGAATTATTGCAGGTAAGTGCAAACGTTTTCCATCTGTCTACATGGGAAACAGTTAATTCAGCTGTATTTCATGCTCCAGTTTATGAAATAGAACGGTGTGGAGCTTGTTAGCTCTGTGGTGTCATGAATTACAAATGGAAGATAGCAAAAAAAAAAGGGGGTGTACATGAGAGAATGAGCAATTATCATGCATTATCAATTGTTTCATATTCATCTTTTTTTTAATAAATTTTGAATGAGAAATTCTGACACTAAAACTTTCCTGGAAGCTTCAGCTTGGCATGGAGAATTCCTGCACATAAATTTTTGCTTTCTGTTTAGAGCCATTATCTGTAAATTTTTTTGAGCAACAAAGAATTGCCCCATTATTTGAAATTTGGTGGGTTCAGTTCAGTTCAGGTTAGGACAGGTCAGGTCAGTGGACTGGAATACCACATGCTACGCAATCTTGTATTTTCTGACAGTTAGAACAGGTCAAAGAGCAGAGGTTCTGAGCATCTGCACCGATGGGAGCGGCTAATACGTGGAACAATGTAGATCGTGTCTCCTCCAGTTGCTGTTTTTGACATCTGTCCAGGAAAAAAATGTGCCGAGAAATGTGTCATAAACAAGCCAATTTCACTGCACAGGAGTCTTTCTTCTCCCAGGCTGCATCTCCAGCTGCCAGTTTCCAGTTGCAGACTGCATCTCAAGCCCACGCTCCCCATTCTGAATATTTTTGGGGGGGGGATCCTCAAGTTTTTGGAAACTCTTCTTGATCACCAACAGTGTCACCATCCACCCTATCGAACAGCATGAACTTTTGCTCTCTCTCTTTCACTCTCCATACCCAGCGTATAGCCCAGTGCTGCCACTTCTCCTTGGCAACATTACAAAAAGATGGCATGTCCTCCTTGTCTCCTTGCCCAAAATTCTGGCCCTCATCCTGGCCACCTTCTCCTCTGTGGTCTCCTGTTCATCACTGCAGTAGAACACTCTGCTGCCCAGATCACCAGGCTGCCCTGCTTTGCTCCCTGCACTCGGGTGGCCCTTCCCCTCCCAGGTACCGCAGGAGCCCTCCATGGGCTTGCCATGCTCACCTGCTGCTTCGCTTGTGCAGCCCGATATATTTTAGCCCATGCTCTTCGCTTCTCCAGCTTCCCCTGAAGCTCTGCTGCCCCCCCCCCCCCCCCGCACCACAAAAAGCTCCAGCCTTTCTCTTTGGCTGTGCTCAGTCTAGAAAAGCATCTCAGCCCTCTGCGTCTTCAGATCCCTCCACAAGCCCTCATTTTCCCCGAGCTTTTGGCACCAGCCCAGTTGCTACCTCCTTGGCGGCAGCAGAGGGGCCCCCCCTGCGGAGGGTCCTGCTGCTGGCCGTGGCCCCTCGCTGGCGTGATCACACGCCCACGGCCGCCTCTTGAGCATGCCCCTTGCCAGCAGTCAGGCTTCCCAAAGAGCTCCCATCTCAACCTTTTAAAAGCCCCATTGCCGCGCGTGCACGCACGGGGGCAGCACTGGGGAGGGGAGGGCCAGCAGCACCCCCAGCATGCAGACAAGCAAGCTTCCCTCCTGGGCTGCACGTGGGCTTTTAAAAACCTCCACTGGCAACCATGTGGGCTTAGTAAAAAGCCTGTTGGGAAGGAACGGAGGGGGCATTTTTAGCTCTGTTCAGGGAGGAGGGAGGAGGTTTCCCTGTCTGGGAAAGAGGGAGTAGGTCCCAGGAGCAGGGCTTGGCTGAGCGGGGAAACCTGGCAGTGCAAGTGAGCAGCGCCTCCAGCTTGCGTCTGGCCCATGGACTCCAGGTGCCCCCGTCCTGTGGTTACTTATGCCTAATCCTGTGTAACTGCATTAATTAGGTACCCCTTCCGTTATTTCCGCTGACGCTCCTATGTTGAATTACAGATAAGGAGGGACTGATTGTCTTGTCTTGTGTAACACTTCTTGCAAATCAAAGGCATGATGGTGGTGGTGGTGGTGGTGGTTTTTTTCTTCTGACCTGCAGAAGAAGTGCTTTATTTTCATAGATTTTATTTTGCTAATTAAATTTCCCCATACCTTAGGTTGCTAATTATGGCATGGGAGGACAGTATGAGCCACACTTCGACTTCTCAAGGGTAAGGGTCTTAATTTCAGATATTTTCTTTGTGACTTCTAAGCAGACATCAAACTAGAGTCAATGTCATTTCATAATTAACCCTGAGGTCTTTTTTCTTTGCTCAAAAAGAGCAGTGGGGGAGGGTTGCCCTGGATCAGGCCTACACTGGGGAAGGGAAAAGACTTAACCCCTTTTTTCCTTGCAATTTTCCAGAATTAAATTGCCTTCAACAGCCTTCCACTTGTTATTAGGAAAAGAGGCAAGGGGACTAGGGGGCTGCCTTTGGGAAAACCGTGGAGGAAGCGGGTTGTGTTCTTAAAGGCTGCCTACAAAAGAATTGACAATAAATAGAAATGAAGCATACATCCTCCAGTGCCATAGCCCTGATCCATCTCCCCTTTTTCTCTTTTGAGCAAAGAAAAGGGTGCCGGTGCAGAAGATCCAGGAACAAAGGTCCATGCCATCTCTTGAGCACCCTGAATGGATGGGGACCATCTGTCTTGTGCCAGAGAATACTTTTGTCTTAAGAAATTGCCACTGACAGATGAGTGGCTTCCGCTGCGGGTGGCCCTCGTGGTGTGCGGGGGACTTTGCTCATGGAAGGTCCAGTTTTAAGGGCCAAAGGACCTCGTGCTTCTTTTTGACGCGCTGCCTCACACTTCCAGTTATTTGCAGCGACGTGGCTCTTGCGGTAGTGCTCAGTGGCAAGGGCGATGACGTGCTGCTTTTCTCATACCACCCAATCCTTCTGGTGTTTCCATACCAGCGTGTACCTAAAATGGGCCCAGTGACCTGTGAAGGAAGTAGGCGTGTTGAACTTCATGGCACAGCTGTAGCTGGGAGCCGTGGCTGCCACTGAGCCGACTTTCTTCCCATGTCTCCTTGCAACAGAATATTACCAGGTGATGCATATGTGTCATTGGGGCCTTTGCAACGCACAGCAGGATAGCTCGGCATTTCCCCACCCGCTGCCGGTGGCTGAACCTGCAGTGGGATGGCCAACCCTGAGCATGGGAGTGTCAGATCACACTTCCTCTGCAGGCAAATGTCACCAGGTGAATCAGCTTGTGCAGCGCAGCAAGATGTCCGCCGGGATCCATCAAGTCTGCAGTAGCACTTTGACATCAACGGAACTGCTCTGCAGTTCTGTAATTCAGCAGGAATTTCAGAGAAAATTCCTTGTTTACATGGCGGACCCAATCATTGCAAGTAGATTTCCTGCAGCAAAATTTGGATGACAGGGGGCACATCTTTGGGAGCTCTAGCCCATTTTGGGTGTGCTAGACGTAGAAATGCACTTTGTGCATTTGTGGTGGCAGACACCAGCACTCTGGTCATTGCTGCCTGCAAACATGCAGGCTCCCTAAATCCTATGGCCAAACAAAGTTTTCCTACAAGCAAACTTCTAGTAACATTTCTCCCTTACAAAGCAGCCTAGGATGTCTGCTATGACCAACTGCTTTCTGAAAGCTATTTATTTATTTGTGGTTTTTGTATGCCGTCCCAATTATTTAAAAAGTCTCTGGGTGGCTTACAGAGACTGAACCAAAAAACAAAAAACAGAACCTATAACAACGACAACTCATGTCCTAAAAAAAAGATTTATTTGTTGTAGCTTGGCTTAACAATTGTTTTGAAAAGCTGAGTTAGAATACATTTTTCCTTTGCTTGCACTTCTGTATTCAGACACCATTGGTTTGCTTTTATTTTTGTGTCAGCGAATTCAAAGGGACTAAGTGCAAAACTGGAATCCAAACTGTTGCTAAGAGAAGCAATTATTCCCAGAGCAGTCCCAAACCCGACATTCTCAACTGAGCTTGCAAAAGCAGGATCGGTTGCCTGCAGTGCTGTTGCAGCTGCATTGACGTGGACTGGGTGATACTCCCCCTTCCCCCGTGAATCCTGCCTTCCTGCACGGGGAGAAGAGAGGGAAGAAGCGTGTGCCAGTGGGGTCCTTGTGTCTGATTCGAGACCATGTGCATGTGCTAACGCAGATCTGTGCAAGAAAGCAAGCCATCAAAACAACCAACAAGATTCTCACTCTTGTACTGTTGGGATATGGAGGATGTTGGACTTGGAATTTAGCTGACACTGAACTGCCAAGGTTCAAGAAAGTCAGCCATCAGATTTTTTATGGCTTTGGATGGTCTGACGCCATGTATGCAGCTCAGCTTAACACTTGAAGCTCTTTTTCTGTTGCTTTATAGTGATTAAATTTTCTCAAACAGCTCTACCGCAGGCTGTTTGTTTTTAATTCCTCAAGCACTTTCATGAAGTTGTTTTGATATCCATTCCTGATGTGCATTCTTATAATGATGGGGAGCACAAGTGAAACCATAATAAAGGCCACTTTACATTTTTACCAGCTCAACAGAGCTGCACTGTTATTCTGTTATCTATCTAAAATCATTTTCTTAACATTTTAATTTGGTGTGATACAGTCCCTTAGCCACATTCCCTCATTCTGCATTCTGGAATGCATTGTCTCTGCACTGTCTCAAGTCCTTCTACATTGTTTCTTAAAATTCCTACTTTCTCTCTCTCTTCTGACCTGATTCAAATGACACAAGCGCTCAGCATTGTGGGTTGTCATGTTGTCTGAACTCAGAGGGATTCCCATGAGTTTTCCTACCCTGACAACCCATGGCTTGTTTTAGGGACTGTTTGTACCATGTGGAGCTGTCATGTCATCTGAACTGGGGGGAAGAATTTCAGCATAGCTTGCAGGGATCAGCTAGAGGACAGAGCAGCAAAAATTCTGTTGCTCTTCTCAATTTCACCCTTGCTGCCACTTGCAGCTGCTCCTCCATCAACGCACAAGAGGCGTTTTGGAGCAATGGCCACTGGTCTGTCACATATGTGTGTTTGTACTGGGAAATTTTTTAATTTTCAAATTTTCTTTGTTAACGTCTTGCAAATGCATTTTGATGGCTGTCCAATATGGATGTAGTCTTGCCTGGTCAATTTCTCTGATGGCTTTGGTTGTCAAAGGGAGCAGCAAAGGGGAGCAGTTAAGAGACAAAGAAGTTGACCAGGTAATACTTCATATGAGCTACTTTTCACACAGGTTGTCAGGAAGCATTGACCAAGTCATCAGTTGAAAAACACCCAATTCAGGCAGGGGAAGTGGCAAAAGAAGGTGAGCCAAAAGGTGGGGTGACAATAACGCTCCTTTCTGGGGTAGTTAAAAACTCGAAAAGTGTTGAAAAGGTGGTGGGTACTGACAATTCAGTTCAGCACTTAAAACTGAGAGGGTTATGTTTGCTAAGGAGTACCTGTTGTCATTCCCCAGCTTCTCCTTCCCTTTTGGTGCACCTTCTTTTGTTGCTTTCCTTCCCTTTAAGGGTGCTTTTCAGTTGGCAACCTGGTAGTTGGCCTCTGGTAGCTGTGTGCAAATTAACGTATATGCAGTCTCACTTTGTGAGTTTTCTTCTGTGTTACCTATTCCACTTTGTTGTGCTAACTGAAGCAGAAAAGGAAATGTACAAGGCAAGACTGCACATATCAGTCAGGTGCAAGAGCAGTTGCAAAAGACTGAAAATAATAAATTTTAAAAAGGTGAACACAGTTGCATAAGTTTCATGGGCTGATTTTTTTAAAAAAGTACAACGCTTTTTTGCAGCTCCAAAACCTGCTCCCAGGCTGCAAATGAACAGGGGTAGCAACTGAAGTGGAGAGGGAGAGATAAGATGAGTTCTGCCACAAAGGGTGCTGGGATATGTGCCAGAACCAGGTGGAAGACAAGGCGGAAGGACAACCCACATTAAGCTCAGTCATCTGCTGGGTGTTCAGCAAACAATGCTATATTCATTGGAAATCCAGTCAGGCAGTGCATGTACAGATCTGAACTGAATGCAGCCTGGCCTGCCATAAATGTTCCTATTGAAGTCAGTATACTTCTTAAATATTGTCTTAGAAATTGGTTCTTGATCTTCTCAGAGTGATGTTTTATAAACATAGTACCAGGTGTGGACCCAGTGCGAAGTCTGTCTTAAAAATTGAGAATTTTTGTTTATTGCTTTTCCATCTTCTGTATTCAGTCTAACCTTCAATACCTTGTGGACTACTTTGTAATAATTATGTAATAACTTACTATTAACATCTTCTGGCTAAAATCTCATTTGCAAGGAGAGCTATTTAAGCAAACCATAGCTTTTGAGAGGAAAGATTAATAAAATTGCCCCTATCCAAACCTTTGCACCTGTGTGGCCTGAATTAATAACGAAGGAGGCTCACACATTGCTCCAATAAAAAAATCCTCGTAATCACCAGAAACCACCATGTCTTGTGCTGACAACATTATTGCTATTATATTCCATCAGAGCAGAACCCAGCAAGAAACCCAACATCTGGTCTTTCTTTCATCCTGTATCTGTTTTCTCCAAATCAGATGTTAATGAGCACTGTTCTGTCACTCCAGCGAGCTATAATTTAGGAACAGAGCATGGGGGAAAATGTGATGAGTTTCCAAAGTTACATAGGTTATACTCCTAACCTATTCAGTCATGAGTTTGCCATGTACGCTGGTTTGCAATATGCAAATACTCAGTATACTTAGGCAGTGTCCAGCATGGCTGCTGTCTGCTTTGAGACAAGGGGACAAGAGAAAGCAAACCGCTTTAGTTCTGTGCTGCAGTGTTGGCTTTGTATGCTATCCTGGATTAATGCACCGTGCATCAAGCTTGCTGGCCTGGGACTTTAGGGCTTCAGTTCAGTGCATGCTCACCTGGGAACAACCTCGCTAAACAAATCAGTGCGACTTGCTCCCAAATATGCGTGGGTACAGTCAAGCTGCATGTCCTCTTTTCCAAAGCTGCAATCATGCAACCAATCTGAAAAGTTGGGTTAAAGTTGTTGTTTGTTTCAGCGACCCTTTGACAGCTCACTCAAAACGGAAGGAAATAGGCTAGCGACGTTTCTTAATTATGTAAGTACCTCTGTGTCCTTTTCTCTGGGCTTGAAGTTTGCAGTTTACTTTTATTTAATTTTATAGAAAGAGGAACCTGATGCTTTCAAGAGTTTAGGGACTGGGAATCGTGTGGCCACTTTTTTAAATTATGTAAGTATGAGCAATTCTGTATCTATGGAATGAGAGCTTTCTTTCTGACATACAGCATAAATATCACCAATCGAATGTCAGCGTCACATTCCATCACAATATTTGTACTGAAGAATTTATTTTCCTTCCTTCCTCATCATGTGCTGCTGATAACATTTTGTGTTGTGGGTCTTTCATGTGCTTGAAAACTCCCCCAGCCCAATCAGAGCTTTGTAGCAAGCATTTTACAAGCCATCTCTCAAAGTTTACAACAGATAGTCTCCGCTGTTTGATTGGCATCACCATAAGTTCATGCTGGGCAATTTGACTTCCTGGTGTACAAACTAGGAATTATGTAACTGACAATGAAATCAACTGGGTGTGTTTTCGGCTTTGCATTTCAAAGACATTTTGCTTAGGTAGAGGTATTTCTGATTTCCTCTCCTTGCTTGCTGCTGTCAGCCAGCACAGAGCCTTCATGCAGCTCTTTTGAATTTGCAGCATGTTCATGCACCTGTGGTAACATGGTCATACCTAAGGGCATCCTGAGGGTGGAATCCTGTTCAAAACCTCCCCTAATGTGGATCACATTAGTCTAGCTTAAGTGACTTCTAGCTACGCCGGGAAATGCTATGGATGTTACAGAACAGAGGTTACTGACGCTAGGATAATGGGATTCGTATCAGCAGGAGAATTGAATAAGATACTTGTCCTGAAGCTCCAAACACAACTATTCCAGGAATCTAGTACCAGTTAGAGCCAAGATTGTTCACTTGTGACCCCCTTTTCTGTCTCAGGATTTGTCTCAGAAATAGAGCCATTACATCTCCTTAGAGATATCTTGCTTCCTTTACATGGTTAACTGGATAGCGTTTATGTTCCTGGAATGGCTTTTTCCTGCCACTCCCTTCCCGCAAAAGCTGCGATCTGGGACTGAGGTGGGTCCCTTGGGACCACAGTCTGCTTTGTTACGGGCAGCTGCAGATGGTGGAGGGAGTTGATGGAAATCGCTCTCCCCATGCCCCATTGCCTGAAAGGAAAAGCAAGTTAGGATCCAAACCATCAAATGGAAGGGCCAAGGGCAATTTGTGTTCTCAGAATGTGTTGCTCCCTGGCCTGAAACCATTTCTTAGCTCAGAAACAGAGATGTGTCTGTTCTATATATCAGACCCATAAATGGATCTTTCAGAGACACATATAATTAAGCAGTGTTGCCAGTGCCAAGGTATGCTTCCAATTTGCTGCGGAAATGTGTGGCTAAATGGCTATGCAGCTTTTTCTCTCTGATGAGTACCATAAAGAAAATTTCCGGAAGGGGTTTGGGCTCCAGTCCTAAACCCACCTCCTGGGGAGTAAGCCCAGCTGAATACAGTGTGACTTGCTGTTAAGCTCAAGTGAGGTCAGGTGCAATAATTCTTCTTAGGCTAAATCCTAAATTATTTATTGCCCCTTACATTTACAACCCTGTAAACATAAATTGCTGGCCAACAAGAGTCTTTAAATTCCTTAGCCTTTTGCTGCTGCTATTATCCTGATCAATCCACATCCTGTAATCCTATTAATCCTTTGCTCCAATTAATTTGACTATAGAGTAAACAAGTTATATATTTCTGATCTATTAATCAGTTGAAGAATCTTGTGGCTGGTGCTGGCTGTGATGCTGAATCATCAATGACTTTTACTGGAATTTCCTATTGTTTTCCCAGATGAGCGATGTAGAAGCTGGAGGTGCCACAGTTTTTCCAGATTTTGGAGCTGCAATTTGGCCCAAAAAGGTAACAGCTGAGTTTTCTCATTGCAACTTCTGCAAACACTGTTTTCACTATTCTTTCACTTGTATACCACGTGGAAATATATACTCACATATATCAAGGATGAACAGCCTATCTGGACTCCCTGTATTAGGAAGAAATGCACTTTAGGCATTTCTTAAATAGTAAAATAGACTTTTGATGGTGACACACCACACACGACATGTTCACATCATAAATGTCCGTAGAGTAAGTGAATTACTTTTCTTTCATTTTCAGGGGACTGCTGTATTTTGGTATAACCTCTTCAGAAGTGGAGAAGGTGATTACAGAACACGGCATGCAGCGTGTCCGGTGTTAGTGGGGTGTAAATGGGGTGAGTAAAATTTCCCCGCCTGGTTTTCAGAGACATTGCAGGCTAACTAAGCAGTTACAGGATGAAATACTGGATCACGTCCAGCCTAGGATTAGGGCACTGCTTTGAGACAGTCTTCAGTAATGTCAGATCACTTTAAAATTACTTTGATGTTTGTGCTTGTCATTGCAACCCATCCTGGCTTACTAGCCCAGAGAGAACAGCTTGCCAACCCAAACTCCCACCACCACAGGTGTCTGAATCCAGCAATACTGGCTCGTTGGAGTAGTTAATCAACCATCTCGTACCCTGTAACAGGCCACAGGATCTGGAAGGTCTTGCTGGGCTCGAACTCCCAAGAAGCCATGCCTGGGGAGGGTAATTATGCAAAAAAGCAGGCATGCAACTAGTGCAGTCAGGGCTGGAAACAAACTTACTTACCTGTGATCATGTGAACAAACTAAGCCTGTGATTCTAATGTTCAGTTCCTAGATGATGGTTAAAGCAAAGATTAGAAAGTATTGGTTGGTTTAATCCTGGGAGTAACAACTGGACATGAATGGCTAGGCAGAGCTTAATGATTCAATAGCATTTTCAGTGTTGGATTATGTATTTTAATTACGTCAAGGTCTAATGGAGTTGGTTGTAGAGAATTTAAAAATAAAAGAAATTGTGGAGAGAATGGGATGGAGGGAGCGAGGAGAACTCTGGTTAGCCTTAGCCTCATCCATTTCCCTCCTGCACCTATCGCAAGAGGGAGATGGCTCATGTACAAGTCTGCAAAACCCAGCATGAGAATGCTGCATGTAGGCCTGATGCTAGCATCCTCACAAAACCATTTATCTTTCACAGTATCGAACAAGTGGTTTCATGAGAGAGGAAATGAGTTCTTAAGACCATGCGGGACAACAGAAGTCGACTGAAAAAGGTTTACATATTAGTTCGGCTTTTTTTTTACCATCTGCCCACATCTTTGTGCATGGTCCAGTTCATTTCTAAGAAATGACTCCTACTCTACTATGAAAAAATGATGGCACTATTTATTTAAAGATAAGGAAGTGTCCATCAGTGGAAGCAGAGCTCTTCATACAGTTGGTGCTACATGGTGATTTCTTCCCATGTTATCTGTGTTTGTCATTTCCCTGCCCTCTTCGGTCTCTGGAAAAAACACAGACACTGTCAGCTTGCAGGATCTTTGGTCTTTGTCTTCTGAACATGGAGATTTTTTTTTAAACATTAAAGATTTGTCAGTGAACCAATTTTTCAAATGTACATTTTTAATGTTACTGTATTTTCTAGGGTTTGCAACTTTTAAAAAACTACATAAAATATTATTTTAAAAGAAGCAGCATTTGTAATGTTCATTTTATTAATTGCAAACAGTGGCCTGCATTCTTTATCATTCCTGTAGCCTTGCAACTGTGAAGGGGTACAAGGAAGACAAGCCTTGGCATTGCCATGGAAGCAGGTTTTCCTCTTCTATGTTTGTGTGAGCATGGGTACGTGAGCATCTCAAAGTCCTAGGTTTCATTTCCTTGTGCAATGCAACATCTTTTGCAGGCTTTAAGTCCCACATTGTGGAAGATGTTTGCTAAAAAAAAGAAAAATAGCATCAAGCAAAAAACGTGAGTAAAATTACTGTCCATGCAAAACAATGTAAGCTAAAATCCTATATGTTTGCTTCACCCTCGTTGGCTATGAGTGAAAACAGGATCTGCTTGCACAATGCAAGTACCCAACACTGCAGTCATGGGAGCTCTGTGTTGAATCCAGCAGTGTCTTTCTGCTGAAGAAACCGGTTCCATCTGCAGAAATGAGAGGGGGCCCTCTCAGGTTTGCTGCTCCCTCTGTACCTGTTCAAGTACACTCAGTTTCTTTGCCAGAGATCTGGGGAACCTCCGGACAATTTTTTAGGCAGCTCCAAGGGCTGCGAAGGGGAGGGAGGGAGGGAGAAAATCCCATTGTGCAAATGGATTTCTGCTAGTGCACCAGCTGTATTTCACCAGCCACAGCTTAGAGCAATGCGAGGTGGCAAAGAGCACTGGCCCTTCCTGTGATAGCCTAAGGCAGCCTCCCCCAGCTGGCGCCTCCCTGATCGTTTGGACTGTGCCACTCGTCATGCAGCATGGCCAGTGGACAAGGCTGGACTGGTCCTCCAAAATGCCAGGAGGGTACCTTGTTGGGGAAGGCTGGCCCAAGGGATGTTTGCAGTCACAGAGCAGCAGCACAAACATAAGCTGCTGGCACTGATCTTTGGTGCTGTCACCAGGGCCAGTGTGGTCAGAGTGTTGGACTGGCACTCACAAGATACAGGTTTAGTCTCCGCTTGGCTTACTGAATGCCTTTGGGCCAGCCACTGACTGTCCTCACAAGATTTTTGTGAGGATAAAATGGAAAGGAAGAGAACTTGGTAGGCTGCTTGGCTTTCTCACACAAAGGAAAGTGATGGATTAGACATATAAAGTAATAATCATAAAGAATTGCTATGTATTGTTGCAGTATCTAACACAACTCCTTTCCTATGTTGTAGTGACATACACAAAGATCTGCAGGCTCACCATAGCACATGACATAACGTGTCCATGCTTTATAGCAATGTGTGTTCCATATGGCTGACACGCAAACATTGAGATGAAGTTGAGCGAGATCCAAAACCACAACTTCAGGCTGAAAGCTCTTGGAATGTCCTGCTGGCAAAACCAAAGGCACATCTATTATCTTGTTAGAGTCCTAAAAATGTTTGCTTGTTCAGCCGAATGATCAAGAATAATGATCCGCTGATGATTCCACCATTCTGCACTGCTGGACAGCCAGAAACTACTCTGTGAGAGAGAAATGGGGGGGTACACAAGTTTGCCATGCTTTCTGTTCCAGACAGTTGTGGCTTCACCTTGCTGCCTATTTGTTAATCAGCGTTTGTTTAACAAATATAAAGCAAAGGCAGAAAGTCATCTCTTTAGACTAATTAGGTTTACTTCATTCTTGGTTCTCATTTTACCAGGTCAGACTGGAATCAACATCCTGGGCTAAGGTCTTTTGCTTCCGTCTCCTCTTCCCAGGAGCAGACCTGTGTGTAGACTGGGATTTTGTTCCACTCCCTTTGACAGATAGCAATCAGAGCTACTGAGCTGTAAGCTGGTCATGAACTTGCATATCCCAAGCACCACACATTTTTGGCATCTGGTTCTTGGTGTGAGTAGGGGAGGGGGAGTAGGTCATTGCTTATCAAAAGGGTGTGAAAATCCCAAAAGCAGTACATTCATAAGCTATAACAGGGGAAAGATAACAGCGACAATAATGCAGTGTGTTTGTTCTATGTTGTCATGTTTTATTCTAAACAATGAAAAAATAAACAACATCAAATTAAAACATAAATATATATATTGAAGGCCTGTAGAATCCCACACGTTTTGTTGTTGAGTTACAAAAACTGCCTCTCGGGAACTTTCACAATCCCTGTTGCTGCGCCTCCAACAAGTGCGTGTTCCTAAACATGGTAGCACCGACACCGCAGCATCATCCTTGCAGGCACTGAACACACCTGTGGGTTGGGAGGTGTAAAGCACACTTAACCACAGAACCTGCGTGCTCTGGGTGGGGTGCTCCTGTGGGCCCTCCAAACATGGGTAACTCAGGGCCACAGCCCTCTGCTTAAAGAAGCAGCCATCCAGCCAGAAATGATGTACTGGGGAACACCTCCTCTATTTTACTCTATTTTAAATGTTTGAACTGCTGCTAGGTTTCACTCTAGGCCTTTCTTCAAGTTTAGATTGTAATTGTAAGCTTCACGTGTTATAGTGTAATGTAGGGTTTTTGGTTTCATAATGGAAGGCACAGCCTTGGGTTTGCAGGAGCTGGGCAGGACTGTCATGGATGGGATGCTTTGGAGGGTGTTTATTCATAGGGCTGTCATAAGATCACACTGACTCAGTGGCATGTAACAACCACAACAATGCATGACTTGTTATGAGCTTTGGTTATTGGGCGGTACAGGCATGAAATAAATAATAAATGCATAAAGTCTCCCACCCATCCAAGCAAAGTTCCTTGAACATTGCACATGTGTGGGTGGGTAATCCTAAATCCCCAGTGATTTGGGATCCCAAATCCCCTCCATTTTTCAATTTTTGCTGAATTCTTATCACCTTGGGCTCGGCAAAATTTAGGGGGGTAGGCACCTTTGGAACTCTGTTTTCTATCACTGGGGCTTCCCTCTAACTCTGCAAGTGCCCCCATACTAACAGCACATAGCTGGTGGGCTTCCAAGGACCTCTGATCCCCCCACCCAGAAAAACAGGACATTGCATTGTGGAGAGGATGGAAAGGGCCCCCCATCCACAAAGCAAAACCTTGCTTTGCAAGCAGCTGTGTAGTCCCAACTTGCCGATTTTGAGAGGTGCCTGCAAAGCGAGCGGAGCGGGGGGAGGTATTTTACCCGCAGCTTGTGCTAGGCACCTCGCAGTGGGGTGGCTGCTGGCTAAGGCGGCGGAACAGCGGACACCTCAGTGCTCTGGCTGGGTCCTCTGGGATACTTGCTGGAGGACTGAGGGGAGGGCAGGTGGCCGTGCAGCTGTGATGGCCTGTGGGGCACATCACAGCCCCGAGGCGGGCAGAGCACACTGCTCGGTTGCGTCATGTGCGCACTGTCATGCTTCAGCAGGCTGGAAGTAACTGTATGAGTAAATAATGAACCCAAACAAATAGACTTATAAGACAGCATCCTGTGCATCTCAGCAATGAGGCGCTGAGCAACGACACGGCAGCTGCGCTCATTCTGGGTACAGATTTCAAGTGGGCACACAATTGGCGGCTTCTGTTATCACAGATTATCTTAGTTTTTCTGCTGCTACTAAATCTATTAATATCCTCAATGAAAACAGGTTAAGCAAGGTGGTTTTTCACATCTCCTTCTCCAGTAACTGAGTCAAAATACATGATAAAAATAATTTGGCATGCTTTTTCAAGTATTCTTGTCTTGCTTAAATTATATTTCAATGCTAGGTAATTTCCTAACTGGAAGAAATATTTGGTTTGTTGCATAGCGATGGAATTTGTTTCCACACATTAGCATTTGCATTTTGGTTTAACTCACAGTGTCTTTGGAAAAATTAAACCGATTTGTGCCACAGGTGGGAGGATCACAAAATGAGCAAGCCAGTTTCATGGAGCATGTTTCAAGTAGTCTGCTGAAAGAACTTTGGTTATAGGGCAGCCTACAAAGTCTATCATGGTGTAATCCTATGCATGACTCATACCAGTAGTAGTGGATTATTTATTTATTTATTTATTTATTTATAAAATGTGTATGCTGTCCATTACTTGCATCTCTGGATGGCTTACAACATAAATCAGAATAAAACAGATAAATTGACTATTCTATGCTGGCTGCAATTAATAAAATACAAACAATAAAATCCAATTTCCATTAAAACATATTAAGATATTGATTAAATAAAAAGGTCTTGACCTGGCACCGATATTACTACTAGTAGTAATATCCTGCCCTTCCCAGCATTTCCTTGGGATTTTCTGTCAAAACATGCATGGGATAATAAATAAGAAATAATTATGATAATATCGAAAACAAATAATCTTTTTTGATTGGCATGACATTCTGCCCTGCCACTTCAGATGTCATACATCTGTGCATTTGATTCTCATACTATATCCAACCTACTAAAGGCTAACATTTTAGGAAGTTAACAGGCATCTTTTTCCTAAAAAACCGTCCATGATCCAAGAAAGATCACAGTTTGTTTCTTGGACAAGGCTCAGCCTACTTTAGCATGCTACTTCTTTCATTGCGGCATAGCTACTCACTTTTTAGGGGATTGCCTCATGAGTCAAGAGCAAAGCCCTGTTCTGGATTTCAACTTCCTTTTCAACTGCAGCTGCCTTTTCTTTTCTCCTTGGGCCCATTATGACCGGCACGGTTTCCTCTGCCCGTTCTCTGTGGCTTAACCTTCCTCTCAATAAATGGATTCTAATACTTTTAATTCTTCCCCTCCCCAAGCAACAATCAAATCATGACTGTAAAATCACACTGACCCTCAGAATTAGGCACCGATACTTGGCATGCGCTGATGCACACTTTCTGAGCACAGTTCTAAGAGTTGGTCTTCATCTTCAAAGTCTGAAGCATCTGGGCTCTGGTCAGCTGAAGGAATGCCCTCCATATCGGCTTCTCTGTGACGGCATGTGTTGTGATGAGCAGAAGTGCTCCTGAGGCTGCCGGGTACAGCACAAGGGGTGAGGACGGCACTCTACCCTGCAGTTCCTCCCCAGAAATGCTTCTCTTGCCAGCCTCAGGAGAGCAAAAGCTATTGCATTTCGGAGAGGTTCTCCATCCTTTTACCGAAATGAAAAATTCGGGTCTTTTAATAGGTTGGGGTCATTTTCTTTCATTTTAATATTGTTTTATTTCTAGATCGTTGTTTAGTATGTTTTTATACGTGTGCCATTTTGAGAACACAGGGAGGAAATGGAATGTGAATCTCCCTAATAAATAAATGAATAAAACACTTCCATGCATCATATTGAACCTCAGATAGCTTGGCATGTGCCACACTTCTTTGTTCAACACTTGCATAAGTGAGACCTCACATTTCTAGCAAGAAACATCCAAATTTTGGTTGGTATTTTGTAGTAGTCTCTGAATTATCAGTGTCTGCTTCATAATCAACTATATGATGAAAGTTACTGGGGCTATTGCTGGACCAAGTCCCCACATCCATTTTGGGCAAGGTCTAAATTCCCACCATAACTAGTCCGGTCACATTAACATACCTTTGACAGGGTTGCCATGAGCAGACCCCCCACAAGCGTTCCTGATTTTGGGGCTGCAGTCACTCCGTGGTAGGCCTCGTGCTTTACACACAGGTCCACCCCCTGAGCTTTGCAGTTCCAGGACTGACCCAAGACATTTCCTGTTTGAGGAGAGAGACAAAATCCCTCCTCCACTCCCGGTTCTGCATGCAGATCAGACCGGAGTGACCACCGGGTCACACTGCGTCGCCGGCAAGGGGCCCCCCTCAGCAGCAGCGGCCGCGCGGTGGCATGCCTGAGGCATCAAGCTTGCTGAGCAGCCACGGGGCGGGTGGTGCAGACCGTGCAGCTCCGGAGTAAGAACAGCAGAAGGGCCGCGTGTGCAGGATCAGGGTCCAGCGTCCTGCACGGTGGCACAGGAGCCACCCCGCTGCTTGGGAACCGCAGGCAGGACAGGAGTGCAGCCCTCCCCAACAGCCACCTCAATCTGCCCAGTGGTGGGGGCGGCCCTGTGGAAGAGCCCTTCCCGGGATCTTGTGGCCGGTTTCATCTTGGGCAAAAGCATATGTTCTCCTGGTCAAGATGTCCTTCTGGTCCGAACACTGAAAGCATCTGCCTGGAATCCCGATTTCCCAGTTAGCCTCCCTCATTTCTGTGGGATGCATTCTGAGGCACCGGGAGGGTGCTGGTCGTATCCCAAGGGCTACACGAATGAAGAGCTCTCTGAGCTAACACTTTTCTTTGGGCAGTCTTCCGCCAGGACCCTGTTCATGCATAGTATGATAAGCTGCACATGCATAACATAATCCTTTGGAACAGGCAAGTCAGTCTGAAGTCCGCTTCCTATTACAGCATTCATGAGCCCTGCTTGCTGTATGGGGCTTGAGTAACAAGGCTCTCAAAGCGGAAAAAACCCCCGCTTTGCAGTGCGGTGAACGTCACCCTGCATGAGGTTTCTGCACCTCGGTTTCTGGAGTAGTGAACAGAGAGGTACTTTCTATGAGAGAATGAAGGAATGACATCAAAGGACTTGATTCACAAAGAGAATCTACTAAATGCCATGTGCTGAAAGTATCACCCCAGGTATATTTATTTTGCCAAAACTCATGTTTTTAAATTCTATTTTTTAAAATGGTTGACTTTGTGGAAACAGCAACTATGAGAATTTGTGCACATGATGCAGTCCCTAGAACAGGGTAGGTAAAATGTAGCTCAAAATGGTTTGAGGGCACAATTCCCATGGTCACTCACCATCGACTTTCTAGCTAGGGCTGATGGGAGTTGTAGGTTAAGACCTCTGAACATCCACCCATTGTCCCCTCCTGCTCTAGAGAGTAGCTGCAAATAACCCTTCCACCAGATGACCATCAGGCTTTTTGAATTTAAAATTCTATCCATCTTGCCTGTAATAGATCCATGGAATGGCATTAGAAGGAGTAAAGGATCAGCCTATACTACCTATGAAGGTAAAGGCTACACATATGGAAAATGTCTCTTCCTAATTTTGGAGGCAGGCTGTTCAGCAGAGGGTCCCTTGATCCTCTGGGGTCTGGTGGGACTGCCATAGGGAGAAGAGGGCAGTTGTATGCACCCAAATCTCGATCCAACCCATTATTATTTATTATCATATTATGACTATTTTTTCAATGGAAGCAGATGGTTATTTGAGGAGTTCCATATCTGTGAATTTCAATGAAAACTGAACTAACATGGAGATCGGAACATAATTATCCTTTGGATTCCATCCTTATGTGCATTTTGTTTGCAGCTGTCAGCTGAGATAAGATATGAAAATGCATTTTTAGAAAAGTGTAATTTGCCAGAAAATATATTAAAACTGCTTAAATGGACATTTGTATATTAATTTCCTGATGAATTGTCATGCTATTATTTATTTATTTCATTTCATTTCTAGAACACCATTATTATTATTATTATTATTATTATTATTATTATTAATTTCATTCCTAGCTCTCTGGGTGGTTCACACAATCAAATTTGTATGTAAATGAAAAGTTGGATGAAACAGACAAATGCAAAGTTGGCGCAAACTGGAAATAGTTTGATCCATCCCTACCTTGTGGCCTGTCTTTGGAAACTGATGTTGTATTCATCTGTCTGTTTTTTGTATCCACTTATGCGTATATATTTGTAAATAAAGCAAATATTACAAAATGGCACATGTATCCACTCTTCCCTCATCCAAAGAAAACTAGACTCAGGTAGTGCTTTCCCTGAAACATTTCTGCTCAGGGAAGCATGGAGAATGCAACACTATCACTATCTATGGTGCTTTACCAACTACTTTTGCAGGCAAGGCAGGTCCTGTCCAAAGAAACCAGACCAGAAACCAATCTAGCCCAACATTTGTTTCACACAGGATTTGTTTTAAGCAGGATTCTGCCAGTTGTGTTCCCCTGGATACTGCCTCTGATACCAAACATAATATATACCAATTGTGATAGCTATATCTACCATAAGTTTGTATCCACTATTTTGTGAACCTCCAGACTTTGGACTGTGAAGAAAGCTGACTGGAAGGAAACAGATGCCTTCGAAATACGGTGCTGAGGACAGGTCTGTGAAAAGCCGAAGCTTTTGTACTTTGGGTGCAAGGTTCCCTGAAAAAGGCTACCATGCTAGGGAAAGTCAAACGCAGAAGAAGAGGACAACAAACATAAGGTGGACTGACTCCCTTAAAGAAGCCACAGCCTTGAATTGAACAGGATGGGCCATTTTGGAGGGCACTCATTCATAGTAAGTCAGAGGCAACTTGACAACACACAACAACAACATCTGGTGATAATGAATTCCGTAATTCAACTATATGTAGACTCAAGAAATACTTCCATTTCCCTGTCCTGGATCCCCCACCAACTAGCCTTATGGGAGAAGCTCTGGTTCTCCTGCGAAACAGGGAGAAAATGACCTCCATTTGTACCCCACCCCGTACATGCTGCTTTCATTTGCTGTTTTATGCACGTCTTTTGTTCAAATGGAAATAAAAGTGAAGAGGCACATGAATACAAAGTACGTATTATTAAGGGTGCAATTCTCTAATCGTTTCAGAAGTCCTGTGCTAGTGAAAGAAAGGCCCACTGGTGTGCTCCTCACAAAAAGTGATGGAAGCTCATTACTTAGTTTTGGGATGGTGGGCAAGATGAGCATCTAGTTCAGAAGATGTGAAATCCAGAACCAAAGCGGGCTGGTTTGGAATGATTTAGACTCTGCGCACAGGAAAGTAGAGCTTTTCCAAAGCTGCCTATTGCAAATTGTGTTGCTCTTGAAGACTTGGTCAGCCTCGAAGCTTCAGAAGACCCAACAGAGTCCAGCAATCTCAAGCTGTCTGTCTTGTTACTATCTGACTGACACCCCTAGGAATTGCCTTTACCAGAGAGTTATATGATTTTTACTTCTAATCAGTATGTTTTTGGGAACAATGTAGAATGAGCCTATCCACTGGTGTCGACTGAGCAGAGAACAAAAAACAGAAAACACCCCCCCCGACTCTTTTTAATTAATCGTAACTACTTAGCCAACTGTCCCTGCTTTTCTAAAAC